TTAATGTCAATTTTTTTTGTTACAGAAAGATATAAATATTACCTTTTGTGTAGAAAATATAAATGAAGAATAATATATATATTTACATATAATGAAAATATTTATGTAGTATAATACTGCAGCCCATGTGCCCTGGAGCCCTCGCTCCGCAACAGGGGAAGCTACGACAATGAGAAGCCCCCGCCCTCCGCAACTAGAGGAAGCCCGTGTGCAGCAACAAAGACCCAATGCAGCCATAAATAAATAAATAAATAAATAAATAAAATTTATTAAAAATATATATATTTTTGAAGACTACTCAGATGTATGCAAGAAGAAGAAAGATACTGGGGTAAACTTCAGCCCTTGTTGCTGCAGCTTGACTCAGAACCACACAAATACCATCTCCTACCTCCACCACCTAGTCTAGATTCCCCTCACCCTCAACTAACACCTCTACTGGTCTTGGTAGCATATCAAGTGGTGTGAGCCAGACCCTCATTCCTGAGGGCTCTGAACCCCTGGTCACCATGCCCTTTTCAAGTCTGGCTTGCTGCCCTTGTACATTTACCACCACAACTGAGAAAGAGATTACCAAGAGGCATCCAAGTGAGTCACCAGAATTCCAAACACATTCCTTCATGACTGATTTTATAAGTCCTAACTTTTCCTGACAGTAAAGCTCAATTAAAATTGAGATGGTGACTCTCTTCTTGCCTACTGATTCCTAGACAAGGAGCCTGAAGATTCCAGGCAAGAGTTATAACTTCTAATTCACGTGACTCTCACCAAGTCACCTGATGGCATGTTTCCCCATTTAGCATCAGGACAATTAACCCGCAGAGCCCCCAGTGAGGAAAGAAAATCCAAATTCTTTGGGTTAGGTGCTTTAACCTCTTAGTTCCCAGAAAAAGGGAACAAAGCTCAGTGCAAAGATCTTGGATGCTAAGTATATGCTGTATCATGGTGGATGGCACCCATTCTCTGAAACTACCATCTCCAAACTGGCACTTCATTTATGCTTTTAGCAACCCATTCCAATGCTCTATCTGCTGGCAGCTCTGAATGTTTCTGAATATATTATTAAAAGTGAACCACATGCTCAGGTCCTTACTCCCACAGCTCCTCTGTTGTAGCCTAGGTCCCTAGTCTGACACAGTGGTAAATGGGACCCTGTGCCTGTGGATGAAATAGTAATTCCATAAGACCCCATCTATAGATGCTATGCAATTCCCATCAAGATTTTAATGACATTTTTTTTACAGAAGTAGAAAAAAAAATCCTAAAATTTATATGGAACTACAAAAGACCCCAAAGAGTCAAAGTAATCTTGGAAAAGAACAACAAACTGGGAGGCATCACAATTCCTGATTTCAAGCTATATTAGGAAATTACTATAGTAATCAAAATAGTATGGTAATGGCATAAAACAGACACATAGACCAATGGAACATAATTGAGAGCCCAGAAATAAACCCATGCATATGGTCAACTAACATTTGACAAGTGAACCAAGAATATTCAATAAAGAAAAGACAGTCTTTTCCATAAGCGGTGCTAGGAAAATTTGATAGTCACATGTAAAATAATGAAACTAGACCCAAATCTTACATGACTCACAAAAATTAACTTGAAATGGATTAAAGACTTAAATGTAAAACCTGAAACCATAAAACTCATAGAAGAAAGCAGGAAAAAAGCTCATTGAAGGGTCTAGGCAATGATTTTTTGGATTTGATGCCAAAAGCATAAGCAACAAAATCAAAAGTAAATAAGTGGGACTACATCAAACTAAAAAGTTTCTGCACAGCAAAATGATCAACAAAATGAAAAGGCCACCTATGGAATGGAAATCATATATCTGATAAGGAGTTAAAATCCAAAATATAAAAAAAAGTAAAACTCATACAACTCAATAGCAGAAAAATAAACAATCTAATTTAAAAATGGACAAAGAACCTGAATAGACATATTGTCCCAAGAAGATATTCAAATGGCCAACAGGTACATGACAAGGTGCTCAACATCACTAATCAGTAGGGTGAAAATCAAAATCACAATGAGATACTACCACAGCCTGTTAGAATGGCTATCATCAAAAAGACAAGAGGTAACAAATGCTAGTGAGGATATGGAGAAAAGGAAATGCTTGCAGCCACTATGGAAAACAATATGAAGTTCCTCAAAAAATTACAACTAGAACTACCACACAAGCCAGCAATTCCACTTCTGGGAATACATCCATAGGAAACAGAAATACTATGTTGAAGAGATATCTGCACCCCCATGGTCATTATAGCATTATTTACAACTGCTAAGACATGGAAACAACAACATAAGAGTCCATCAACAGATCAATGGATAAAGAAAAGTGGTGTACCATTCAGCCATACTGAATACTATTCAGCCATGAAAAAGAAGGAAATTCTGCCATCATCAACGACATGGATGGACCTTGAGGACATTATGCTAAGTGAAATAAGACTAAGAAAGACAAATACTGTATCTCACTTATATGTGGAATCTAAAAACAAACAAACAAACACACAAAAAAACAAACTCAAAGAGATCAGATATGTGGTTACCAGATGAAGGGATTGGATGTCTGTGGTCAAAAGGTACAAACTTCCAGGTATAAATTAGGACTGGAGATGTAATGCACAACCTGATGACTAGGGCTACCACTGCTGGGTGGTAGAGCTGAACGTTGCCAAGAGAATAAATCCTAAAAGTTCTCATCACAAGGAAAACACCATTTTTTCTTTTTTTCTCTTTCATCTACATCTAAACTTATTGCGGTAATCATTTTGCAAAATATGTAAGTTAAGTCATTATGCTCTATACCTTAAACTTAGGCAGTGCTATATGTCAATGAGATCTCAATAAAGCCAAGAGAAAAAAATATTCCATTAGGTAGCAGAGCAGTGTTATGACTACAGCCAGAAGAGGCAAACCCATTACTACTAAATGTGGCTGTTCTTATCACACTGAATTGCTGACCCTTCCAAAGTTGAAGGGGCCCAATGCTTTCAGTTGCTACCAAGTGGCTAGTTGGTTCCCTTGAAAAATGGTGCTATATCGGAGGCATTCGACAGTTGAATGCCTGTCATCCAAGTTGGACATTCTGAGGTAGCTACATCAGCCTTGGCAAGTGGGAGCCCACCCTACTGGGCCCATGTGTAGCCTCCATCTTCCTCCCTGTGCCCATCATGCCAGCACTAAGGTGGCCAATGAAAGAGGCTGGCTGACAGCAACTGTCTTAACCAATGCCAAATTTAAAAGTAAATTTCTTTACCTTTCGCCTAAACATGGTCACCATTTCCCATTTTGCAGACCTTTAAAATTCTGATTGATGAAACAAAGTATTAATTTCTCACTCCTAATCAACATTAATGCTCTTAGTTTCTAATTCACGTGAAAGAAAAAAAGAAAACTCTGCCTTTAAAAATGTTGAAACCCTTCTTAAGGATATCAAGCTTAAGCTTGGCAATTTTCCACAAGTGCTACAAAGATGATTACAGCCTATTGGGATATTTATTGTCTATATTTCATTCTTGTTTATTTAGATACTCAAAACCTTAGATGCAAACATTGTTTGGCACCACTACTATTTCCCCTTCATTGCAGTGACTTCCATGCAAAGCATAAAACGGAACCTTCATGATTTTAAACATGTTATCTGTATAAAATATTCAAAAGCTTGTTTTTGAAATCAGAAGATATGTTGGAAATACCACCTGGCTTTTTTTAACAGTTAATTACAGAAAGATCAAATTATCTGTCCAAGGTCACACCACTTGTTCTTAGCAGAGATAGGACTAAAATTAGATGATTCTAGTTCCTTAAAATTACGTTCCTATCTAGAACATGAATGTGTTTTGGAGGATCAGCACTTTTCAGACCTTGGAATCTACACTGAAGTAAAATCTCACTTTGAACACGATCACTGTCCAAAAATTTCAGTCCCCTAAACGGTTGAATCACGTTGTTGCACATAAGGAGTTTGGGGATTGGCTGCAGGATACAAATCCTTCTCAGACTCAGGTGTGGTGCGACCCCAAACACAGGCCCTTGTTCTTTCTGGCCTAAATAGAGAGGGGCAATTGATGGCTCTGTGGCATGGCTCCAGGGCAGGAGAATCCAAGTCAGTGCCCATTTAGTCGGCACTGGTCTGGGAATACGCCAGGGCTCTAGGGACCACCGTCCACCTCCTGCTTCCCAGGACCCGTAGTAGTCTATTATTTTCTCCGCTCAACTTGGTTCTCCCTGAAGAGCACAAGAACTCCATCCCTCCGCGCCGCTCCCCCCTCCGCCCCCTATCACTTCCTGCCCATCCCCACACCTTTAAGAAGCAGGTCGGAGGATGGCTGCTGAGGAAGACAGCAGCCAATCCCAATTACGTCCGATTTTGCTGTGTTGCAGGATTTTTTTTTTTTAACTATCAACAATAGTTGTGAACAATCAACTCAAAAATGAATCAGCTCATGCCTGCAATGCCAGGGAGCTGTAACGTGCACCCGTAATTAAAGGGCTTTGTGAGTCAACGAGCTTGCGGTGGAAGTTCATGGAACCAAATGCCCAGTATATACTAGATACACCTGGAAGGATACTGTCTTCTGTTCTTTAGTACAAACTGGCAAAAGAGAGAGAAACAGTGTCAGACCTGAATTGCAGCCCCCGGAAGGGTCTCAGTGGGTCTCGGAATCCAGCCCCGTTCCTCAAAGGAGCAGGACTTTGGAAAGGGCACGGGCCAGGAGCGGGGCGACGGAGGCCGCCGTACAGACATTCCAGGCCCCGCAGCGAGTGTACGTGCGCGCGCGTGCGCGGTTCTGTGCCGGGTCACGGACGCCAGGGCCCCGAATTCTGTACGGACCCAGGCCCCGCCGTACAGCAGTCGGGAAACTGCGGGGTCTGCCGTTCCCGCGGTCCGCCGCCAGGGGGCGAACACCCCACGACGCGGGGGCTCGGGAGGCACCGAGGAACGCGAAGCTGTGGCCACCCTGCGGGGCTGCCGCCCTTACCTCCAGGTAGTACAAGTCCAGTGTAGTGATCTGCGAGTCCAGGAAATCTTCATAGGTGTTGAACTGAGTGACTATATTGTCCACGGTGGTCGACCCCTCTTCCTGATCCATTGCGGTTACCTTGGTCGGAGCGTCCCCAGCAACGGAGGCGGGGGGGGGGGGGGGGGGGGAGGAGGGTACCAAATGCGGGGTGAGCCTGCGGCGGGGTGGCAGGGTCAGAAGGTTCCACCCACTTCGTCCCTTCCAATCAGTTGGGAACCGGTGCGGAGCTTTGGACGTTAATCCCACCCCCGTGTCTTGCTAGCGTTTCAGGCTTCTTCTAACTCCTAGGAACGCCGTCTCAAATTACCCAATCCAAGTTCAGGTCTGACACCGTCAATTGACTCGAACTTCGGCGAAACATGCAGCCACGGGAGAGATGCAAATTGCAATCCAAAATTTAAAAGAATATGTAGACAAAATACTATAGATCAAAGCTTCTAATCTTGTTCTAAAACAGTGCTGTGAAGGACAAAAATTTCAGGGTTAGTTCTCAAGTAACTGAAGATCCACTTTTGCAGGGAAAGTATCTCAAAACAAGTTTCTGGAAATGATCTTGTGAACAAATCCGATAACAAAATACATTAATGATTGTGTTATTTCAAAATTTTGGATACAAGGAAGAATTTGTGAATTCCCTAAAGGAAAGAAACTCAATGAAATATCTTTGAAGACCTTTTTTGGCCCCAAGTGCTTGTTTTTAATCTTTTTTTCTTTTTACTTTTTAAGTTTCAGTAAGCACACAATGAAAGACCTTGGCTTGTTGAAGCTGCCTTTTTCAAAGGGTACAATATCTGTGGAAACTTAGACAGTAAAGGTTTTTACTAAAGACTTTTCCTTTAGAACAGTTTTGCATTTTTAAAACATGGATTTAAAGTAATCCAACCTGGCAGCTGGCAAAACTTTTCAGAATCCATTTTTGGATTTTAACGTTCTACAAATAGTCCTTAGGAATTAACACATAGTACAACACTTGAGCCTGAGGTAGTTGCTCTCTTATTGAATTGATTTTGAAGATTTTCACGGAAGTGCAAAAACATTTTTTAATGAAAACATCTGGTAAGGTACTTCACCTTGAGTTAGGTTTCTTAGTTTAAAAAGTCATCTCAAAATTAGGATGTCATGAATGTACAAAGTTTAAGTGATGTAAACAATAATCTCTAGGATATTACTGACTTGTCTTTTAATTAATATATTCTGAAATGTTTTAAAAGTCACTTTGGACATTATTTTTAAATACAATGTAATCATTTAATTTAGGAGAACAGAAAGAAAGGAGAGAGAAACCCTGGACACATAATAACAACAACATTAATAATAATAATACCATTTATTGAGTGCACCCTGCATACCAGGCACTGTCCTAAGTGTCAACAATGAATGTCAACATCTTTAACTAGTATTTATGCTAAAATTAACAACCACCAACACTTTGATATCATCTAATCTAAAAATGTTTTCATGTCTAAAAAGACTTGAAAATTCAAACAGCCCAAGGATGAGAAGAAATCCATGTGACTTAAGACATTCTAATTGATAAGGGACACAGGTCTCAGTATTCTCAATGATCCAGAGAGTTCTATAAATACCTCCTGAAAGAGGCATTATTCTGGATGAACTGAGCATAAGGAAAAGCTTAGAAAAGTTCTAGCCACTTACTATGTACAGAAAATATATATTTGTTTCAGTATGATAATATTTATTAAAAACTTACCATGTGCCAGCCCTGTTCTAAATACATACTTTACATTCATTATCTTGTTTAATCATGACCTCAAATCCACCAGGAAAGTAGCACTAGCGTTATCCATAACATAGAGACAGAATGAATTTTAGTGGATTGGCCAAAGTCCTAAAGATAAAAATAGCCACACAACTAATTACTCCTGATTTCCCAGAAAGAGAAAGCAGAGGTGAATAGAGGTTTGAAGGGCCACATGGAATTAACTATGAAAGTTGGTTTTTCTGTGTTTATTAGAAAAATAAGTCCAATTGTGAGAGGGAATACAGGTCAGTGCAAATAAAGGAGCAAAAGGTGATGGCATATTCCGAGACATGGAGGCAAGGAAGATTGTGTAGGGAAGAGCTGCACGTCGATCCGACAGTTGTGAGGGATCCAGTAAGGAGAGCAGAGGAAAGGAAGCTGACTAAGGAGGAAAACTAGTAGGAAGGTTTTGAGTGCTTGGATGAATCGCTTGCAGAGATAGTAATCGTGGAAGAGAGGGTAAAATGAAAATGACTGTGAGTGATGATCACGTACTACTGAACAAAACGTGTCTTACTCTTAAAGCCTCCAGAGTGCTTATATTTATTATATTAGCTTTGAAGTCCTCCTCCATCACAATCTCATCGCTTTCGAGAAACTGTAAAGCATCTAGGGAATCTTTGGGTTCATTAAACTATGGCAGTTAGATTACAAGGACCTATATGTTAGTAAAATGTGAGGTTATTGTTTGCCTGTATATCATTCTATTATCTATTATCCATTGTGACTATGCATTTTCAATGGAAACCTCACTAAATCAACAGCTTTGATGAAGTAATCTCTGAAACATCTAAATTTAAACAATCATGAAAGTATTTTCAGTCAATGAATCTAGTAATGTGTTCCAACTCAAAACACTGAGGATGATTTTCAACAAATTAGTTTTTCTATGAATAGTGAAAGAAAAGGTGAAAATGTGTAAACATAGGCTTGGTTCCCACAGAAAGGCTTGCATGATAGTAGGCCTAATTCAATTGTATTTTGCTTAACTTTCAATTTAAGTTCAAAAGCAGTTTCAAACCTGTGCCTGAGAAATCGCATGAAAGAAATTGCGTGACATAGCACAGAGAGATGAGCTCGGTGCTTTGTGACCACCTAGAGGGGTGGGATAGGGAGGGTGGGAGGGAGAGAGACACAAGAGGGAAGAGATATGGGAACATATGTATATGTATAACAGACTCACTTTGTTATAAAGCAGAAACTGACACACCATTGAGAGAGACAAAGAGGGAAGAGATATGGGAACATATGTATATGTATAACAGACTCACTTTGTTATAAAGCAGAAACTGACACACCATTGTAAAGCAATTATACTCTAATACAGATGTTTAAAAAAAATTGCGTGAAAGAAATTAACAAGCTTCAGCAGGTCTCTATTTCCTATTGCAAAGTCTTTGTTATGATTGGGAAATACTTTATTTTGGATAACATGAATTCTTACTTAAAGCTGAGGATTTTTAAAGATTGATATCTGAATTTAGCACCCAATCCCAGATATTCCATTTTTTTGCAAGAGGACCAGCAAGGATTATGTATATTCACAACAAAACTCCAAAAGATAAAAGGAACACGTGCTATGTAAGAGTAACAAAATATATACCATATTTAGCTTAGTTTACTGAGTTTAAAAAAATGACACAATATCAAAATAAAAATCATAGGACTGTAAGCAAAATCTAAGCATCGTTATCTCTTTGAAATAAAAAGGCTTTGGTATTATACTTACTTGGTGAAAGTATATGAAAGAATTTCAAATTACACTCTATGCTTTTCTATGTCCAAATATCTAGCAATATACCATGAAATCTGGGAAAGTGAATAGAAAACATACTTTTGATATTTTGACGTGCTAAGAAGGGGAATGCCCTGCTTATTATGTTAATAAGATGCTAAACACTCTAAGAACTTGAAGCCCTATTAAAATGGACTTAATATATTACCATATTGTAAGAAAGAAAAACATATGCTCACGCTAAAAAGATAAGAGATTTGTGTCTGAAGTTGCCCAACTGCTTGTAAAGTTTCTGTGGATTACAGATGAGGACTATTGCTTAATCATCAGCTGAAGAGAGCTCTTTTGTGCTTTATAATAATGACGACACTGAATTTAAGATATTTGTTGTGATGAGATCACTGGACTTCCACACCGTCTTATTTATTAAAGGTGCTGGAGTTCTGGTTCCACAGCTTCTCGGTCATGGAGACATGATGGGTTCGTGTGTCATAACTCCAGAGTTTTCTCCTTGCATATATCTGACAGTGTAAAAGGAAGGATCCAGAAGAGAGAAAGACAAGAATAAGAGGGAACTGCTCCCAGGAGTGGAGATGACAGGTGTCAGAAGCTAATAAAGGTTTGAAAGTTACGGTGCTGTGGGATAGATGATGGATATGGTAGCCTCAACCATCTCCTTGGAACAGAAAAAAAACTTGGGCTCTCAGTGACTCTATAAGATTTTCCTAACAATTTCACTGAAAATTCCCTCACCCTCCTTGCCTACATGGAAATCAGGCTCTACCCCGAAACACCACTTCCCCTGAGTGGCCAAACACTCTCAAAAGACATCACCCGTGAATAGACGGTCACCACGATCAACGCAGAGCTGCCAGTTTCAAATGGCTGCTCAGCACTGCCCCCGATCTTTACTATGTTTTTTCCCTTCAGTTCTCTCTTATTTCCTACAATGACGTTTCCTACTCTCTCTTCTCTCTTTAATCCTATATCCTCCAGTCTCAAAGCAGACAATCTTAACTCCTACATCACAAGGGAAGTAAAGGTCTTCAGATTAGATATCCTGTAGTCAAATATACAAGCTTACTCACATATCAATCCTTTATTTCTTCCCTTTTGTTTCAAAGGAAGACATTCATGTGCTCTTAGACCTTCATTCTACACTGGTTCTCTCCTTCTGTCTTCTCGAGATTTCTTATTTTCATTACCCCTTCTCACTACTGTATCATTATCTCTCTTCCTCTCTCTTTCC